ACAGACTTACACACACACAGACACACACATGGACTCACACAGACACACACGGACTCACACACACAGACACACACATGGACTCACACAGACACAGACACATGGACTCACACAGACACACAGAGACACAAGCATGGACTCACATATACACACAGATACACAGACATACACACACACATTCACACACATACACACACAGACACACACAGACTCATGCACAGATACACATACATGGGCACATACACAGACTCACAAGCATACATGCATGTACATGCACACATATACTGACTCACACATATACATTATATACAAACTCAAAAACATACACCTGCATACACAGACACACACACATACACTGACTCATGTACATATACACATATACAATACATACACAGACTCACAAACATACACACAGACTCACATACATACACATGTACATAGACGCAGATACACAGACACAGGGTTGGCACCCTCTCTGTCTCTGTCTCTGTCTCTCTGTCTCGCCTTCACCAGATGAGACCCCTCCATCTTGGACTTCCCAGCCTCCGGAATTTATTAAGCCAATTAATTCCTAGTCATTAGAAATTACTCAGTTTGTGGTGTTCTGGACAGGCGGTTATAGCAACAGAAAGTGGACTAGGACACACACACACACACAGACACACACACACACAGACACACACACACACACACACACTCTTCCACACCCAGACTCACACAGACACGCAGACACACACACAGACTCAGACACACACACACGCCTACGCCCATGTGGACACACAGACATGCAGGCAGGCATAACACATGCCTACATGAAGATACACACGCACTCATTCCACTCCCGCACGCTTGCCTTCAGGCAGTGTGTCTGTTATCTCCCCTTGACAGAGGAGAAAACGGAGGCTCCGGGGAGATGGGTAACTTGCACAGGGTTGGGGGCTAGCGCGATTTGGGGCCCGGCGGGTGGCACATCCTGGGGCCTGGGCTGTGTTCTGGAGGCCGGCTGTGGGTTGGGCTGCGGCGGCCCCTCTGCGATCTCCTGAGTTAGGGCTCTGGCTTTGCTCTGGAGAGGATGGCTGAGGTGGGGATTTCAATCCTGCAGCCCCACCAGGCCACTAGGAGCACCCGTGGGGGTGAGTGATTGGAGGATGCTCCAGACCCCAAGTCCTGAGGCCACTGGTACCGCCTGCATGCCCGCAATACACGGGGATCCGATGCCCTTCAGACCCCAGGCTGGCCTAGGACCTGAGGTCTGAGGGGTCTTGGGCCTCCTTGCTGCCCCTCTGTCCCCACAGGTAGCTCCTTTGCTGCATTTCCAAGCAGAATAATTTGCGGAATGAGCAAGGCATTTGGGAGCGGCTGGGCCTCTCATGGGCAGTGGGGCAGGTACTGGGAGAGTGGTGGCCCCAGCCCTCCCTGTCCCCTGGGAGCCCCACCCAGGCACACCAGCTTCAGATGGCCAGTCTCTGTTCCCCCCGGGACGCTTGGTGGCTGCGGATGCCTGTGGACTCCCTTTATGCAAAATACCGAAGATTCCCCAAAACCCAATGGTGCTACCATGTCATCAAAATGGTAAGCCCGTAGATGACTGGCATTTCCTGATAGACCCTTGGAGTGAAGTGCCAGTCCAAAGGGCAGCTCTCACTGGGTGGTCAGACGGCACCCTGTGACATGCCAGAGAGGCGCCCGGATCCCCGACGTTCCAGGGCAGGACAAGCGACAGCCCACCTGGTCCACTCCTCCCGCCCAGGTCTGTGCCCCACCCTCACTCCATCTCAGCACGGAGTGTCCCGAGGCCTCCCTGGGTTGTGGTGTGGTGCTCAGGGAGGTCCCCTGTCTGCCCAGGACTCCCATGCTGGTGTCCTGGGAAGCTCTGGGGCGCTGCAGGAGAAGGACGGACACAGAGCCTGGGGCTGGTTTAGAAACACAGGGCGCTTTTCCCATGTCAGCCCGTGATGTCAACTTCTGAGGGAGTCCCCATGCAGGCCTGATGGGCAGAGGCTGTGCTGAGGGCCGGGGCAGCAGAGGAGGTGGGCAAGGCCCAGAGGCACCGTGGCGGGGGGTGTCTTGAACACCAGGGCTAGGGAACCATTTGTTCTTGAACCCCTGACCTTAGGTGATCTGCCCACCTCGGCCTCCTAAAGTGCTAGGATCACAGGCGTGAGCCACCGCGCCCGGCCTGGGAACCATTTGTTCTAAGCTCTAAATTACAGACGGGGAAACGGAGGCCCAGAGAGGGGCAGGGACGTGGCTGAGGTCTCGGGGGGACCCCTGAGCTGCCAGGCCTCTGCTGCCTCCCTTGGGTGGGTGTGGGGGGCACTTGGGCACTTGTGTTAGGCTCCCACTTACAGCAGCACGGCCCAGGCTTGGAGGGGGCCGAGCTGGACGGGGCAGCAGGTGTGTGGTCATAGCAGGTGAGCTCATCTGTAAAATGGGGTGTGACACCCCTGGCCCTGCTGGCCCGTCCAGGCGTGAGCGGCACAGGAGAGGCCCAGCTGGGAGCCATCTGGAGGAAGTCCCTCCTGGCCCAGGTTGGCAAAGAGAGGCCCAGGAGGAAAGGACATAGAGCACCTCTTCCTCCTTGGAGCCCTCCTGGGTGACCCCGTCCTGTGCCCAACACTTGACAGTTCTCCCTGGGGCTGGCCACGTTGGGGTAGGGTCTGAGCACCCCGCAGCTGTGCCAGGAGAGCAAGGGACTCCCTGGGGCTCTGCAGGGGACCTGGCCTTGGCTCCAGCTGAGTTCGGGGAGGTGCCGCAGGGGAGGGTTAGGTAGACACAGCTGGAGGCCCAGAACGAGCCCAGGTGGTGACAAGGACATCCGAGCTTAGTCCTTGAGGGCTTGGTGGGACCAAAAAAAGGTAGGGCAGCGTCCAGTCTGGAGTGCAAGGCTGGGCCTTGTGGCCTGCCCTGGGGTGGGGGTGGGCGCGGGGAGGAATCAGCTCCCAGAGGCAGCCCTAGGAAGAGCAGGTGCAGAGGAGGGGGCGGGCCGTGACAAGCAGACGGCCCTGGCTGGGGCTGGGCATAAGCTGCTGGGCCCGTGGGGCGTGGGCCAGGAGTCACAGAGCAGGTGGTCCGAGGAGGGTCGGGGCCATCCATGGGGAGGGGATGGCCGGGGACAGGCCGGGGCACGAGAGTGTGGTCTCATGGGCAGAGCCGTATCGCCAGGCCTGTTTGGCCCGTCCAGCCGCAGCCCCTCCCCTCTGCCCCCTCTCTCCCCTCCCTCCTCTCATTCGGCTCCACCCATAAGAGACGTGGCTGAGGTGTATGTCTCAGGCCTCCGTTTCCCCGTCTGTAATTTAGAGCTTAGAACAAATGGTTCCCAGGCCGGGCGCGGTGGCTCACGCCTGTGATCCTAGCACTTTAGGAGGCCGAGGTGGGCGGATCACCTAAGGTCAGGGGTTCAAGAACAAATGGTTCCCTAGCCCTGGTGTTCAAGACACCCCCCGCCACGGTGCCTGAGCTGCCTGAGACATACACTCTCATACACGGTGCCTGAGACATACACTCTCATGTCCCCAGGCCTGTCCCTGGCCATCCCCTCCCCGGGACGGTCCCCACCCCACCTCCTCGGACCACCTGCTCCGTGACTCCTGGCCCATGACCCACAGGCTCAGAAGCCTGTGCCCAGCCCCAGCCAGGCACGTCCGCTTGTCATGGCCCACCCCCTCCTCTGCCCTGCTCTTCCTGGGGCTGCCTCTGGGAGCTGATTCCTCCCCACTCCCGCCCCACCCCAGGGCAGGCCACAAGGCCCTTACCTGTCTCAGCTGAGCTTCACTGCCTCCTCTCCCGGGCCCACAGCTTTCTGTGCCTCCTGAAGGGGGGTCAGGAGGTAGGGGTGGCCTTGACCCTGGAGTCAGGCAGGGCTGGAGGGGAATTCAAGCTCCTTTTTTAGGTGGCGCTTGGGAGCGTTGGGTTAGTCCCCTGGTATCTCTGAGCGTCAGCTTTCTCTTCTGTGAATTGGGCACACATAGCCCTTCGGGTGGGGGTGCAGTTCCAGAGGGTGGGCAGATGTGGCCCCGTGGGTCCCCTCTCATCCCGTGAGGCCTTACCCCAGGAGGTGATGGGGTGGGGAACACAGAGTCCCGGACTGCAGAGGCCCTGAAGGAGAGAGCAGGGCTGTGTGTGAAGAGGCAGGGAGGCTGGGGCTGCGTCAGCTCAGACAGGGCGAACGGGGGTGGGGGCGGGGAGGCAGGGTGTCCAGCTCAGACCATGCACCCCACCGCACCCCAGGCCTCAGGCCTCCAGGAAGCTGGGACAGGCACCCAGGCGACATTTCCTGCTATTAATGGAGCTTAATCTAAACAGGCCCTAATATTTACCTCCAGACGCCTCCGGCTGCCGTGGGTGCCAGACAGCGGGAATGATGAGCCCCCAGCCTGTGCGGCCCCCCCGCCCCGGAGCTCCTCGGGGCCAGGCCAGAGATCCACAAATGCGCACCCGGAGCCCTGGTTTGAGCCTCCTCCTTGGCCACCCCAGAGCCTAAGTTTTTCCTCTAGGAATGGAGGTGATCACCCCAAACCCAGGTTCAGAGAAGAGGGCTACACAGCGGAAGGCCCATAAGAAGGCCGGTCCTCCTTCTCCCTGGGGTGTTGGACCAGCTGAGCCAGCTGGTCCCTTTAGGCCATACGTCTGGTGATATGATAGGACTTGGTGGCTGTGGGTGGTCTGGCTGCCTTGCCCACCTCCATGTCCTTGACCTGGGTAGGCATAGTTGGGATCAGGGAAGGAGCCCTTCGTCCTGCTAGTCCGTGCCCCCACCCCAGCTACTGTGCCCATACCCTGCTGGCAAGACAGCCACCTGTGCCCCATCCATCCCCTGCTCATCAGAGCTGGGTGGGGCTCCAGGCCCCTAAATCTGCCTCCCAGCAGGGATGACAAAACCACGAAATCACTGCCCCTGCCCCCTGTGGAGCCCTGGTCTGTAGGACATGGAGTTGGAGGCGCAGGGTCCCCACCCAGCCCCATGCCCCCCTGCAGCCGAGGGGCTGAGTCGTGGGCGAGAATAGAATAAACAGCTTTAATTCCGGACGAGGACATCTCGTTAAGGAGATTGTTTACGTCGGCTATAAATACACACACCATTTCACGTCACTTGGGCATTCTGAAAATCTGGAAAGGGGCATGGTGGGGAGGGGGCGTGAAGATCTCACGCCCTGCCCCTGTGAGAGCGTGGGGAGGGGCGCGCACAGATCTCATCTCTGCCCTGTGGGACCGAGGACGGTCTTGGTCTGACTTCTGAGGCTTCTGGGCCTTGGTGCCCACAGAGGAGGCTGACGTGGGAAGGAGCCAGCCATCAGGCAGCTGCGGGAACTGTGAGGCCCCGCCTAGGGCACTGGGGTGACCCCCTCCCCCAGTCCCCTGCCCTCCAGCTGTAAGGCTGAGGAGAGGAGAAAGAGGAGTGGGGTGTGGGGAAACTGAGGCCCACCTATCAAGGGTTCTGCATGGGGGAGTGTCAGGCAGTTCTCAGAGGTCTGAGGATGGCCCTCCTCCGACAGGATGCCCTCCCCTCCAGGCCTCTTGCAGTCTGAGAAGTCTTTGAGGCCTGAGGAACCCACGTTGAATGATGGGATTTCAGACCTGGGGACAAGGAGGGGGGCCTGGCTCACCCGCCTTAGAGACCCCTCCTCCTGAAGAAAAGGATTGTTCCAGGAGAATGACAAGCCCCGCCCCTTCGAGCACAGCGGTCTTTGACTGTCAGCCGTTCACTCTTTAGCAAGAATTAGAGTGACAACCAGGAATGGAGCCAGGCTGGGGGGCGTTGATGGGGGAGGCCGAAGGCCAGAGGGGCAGGGAACGCTGGCAGAGGAGGGGCTGGGAAGCTTCGTGGTGGGCCCTCCACTGGTCCCAGGGAGGCCGGGTTTGGCCTCACCCTTGCCCAGGCTGTTCCCCTTCGCCTGAGCACCCCTTCCTGCTGCCCCCCTGCCCCCTTGTGGCCCTGGCCTGGAGGGGTCTTACAGTCTAGTGTGGGACCAAGGGTAGAGGGGTGTCACAACCCAGGCCATGTGCAGAGCTTGCTTGAGGGCCGAGAGAGCCACTAGGTAGTCTCTGGGGCTTTGGGTGCCCCCTAAGATGGAGCAGGGGGACCCACAGCCCCTGGAGGGGTAGAGTCCAGAGGCCCCGGCCCTGGACGACTTGTGAATGTGGGTGGAGGGGTCCCAGATGAGAAAGCCATTCAGGGACTGCTGGGCTACATGACCCTGGAATAGACACCCACAGCTGGGCTTGGGCTAGGCAGGACACCTGAGCCCCGACCCCTCACTCCTCAGCTCTAGATGCGTGACCTCACAGGTGTCGGCTCTCAGCCCTGGGAATGATGGCACACCCTTAGTGCCTGCTTGCCTGAAAGCCGCCGGGAGGGCTGCTCCTGGGGTCAACGGGCTTTTTCTGCACGCACAGCCCCGTCCCCAGCTGCCTCCTTTCCTGAAAGCCGGGCCCCTCTGCCTTGGGGAACCGTGCATATCTGGTAAGCCACGGTCCCTCTCTGAGCAGCGCCAGAGAGCTGGGGGCTGGGGGAAGGTTCCAGAATTGCACCTGGTGCCTGGTGAGTGTCAAGAATGCTGGTGGTCATGATGATGTCCACTGCTTCCTGGGCATCCATACCAAGGAAGGAAGCAGCCTCAGGGGCTGTCCCATTCTGCCTCCGCTGGGCTGTGGCTGCCTCCGCTGGACCAGCACCCCACTCCAGCTGCCCCACACAGCCACAGTTGGGGATGGTGAGGATGACACTGGCCTTGGATGACTCAGGCACTTACTCTATGCCCTTGGCAAGCCCCTTTCTCCCTCTGGGCCTCAGTTTCCTCATCTGTAACATGGGGATATTAAGTCCAGGCCCCTGAACTGGAGATAGGAGACTGCCTAGAGGCGAGTTGGGGAGCCCCAGCCTTTTTCTCCTCCTCCCCCTCCTGCTCCCAGCCACACGGGCCGCGGCCACCCTGAGCATGCAGGACTTCTCTGTAGCCAAAGGCCTGGCCTGGGGACCCAAGTCCATCTCACCTGCTTCAGTGGCTATGGCCAGGTCTGAGGGCAGGGCCTCGGAGCCAGAGGTGCCAGGGATGCCCCAAGCTCCTCTCCCCCAATACAGGCCCTCTTACCATACACCAGTCCGGAAAGGCTCATGGGAGCTTGGACACTCAGCAGAAGACATGTGGGAGACAGTCCTGGAGCCCAGCTCAGAAGAGGTGGTCAGAGTCCCCAGCCAGAGAAAGGCTCCCTCCTTAGTGAGGGCGTGGGGACGCATAGTGAGCTGGGCCAGAGCAGCTGGTCAAGTCCTCTCTGCCCCCAGAGGGGAGAAAAAGGGCTCTTTGCATGGGGAGATGGTGGCCACAGCCTGGTAGGCCTGGGGTCATTGCTGCGTGACTTTGTTCTTGGATTTCTCATCCATAGGATGGGGCCGGGAGCACTGCTGTTGCCTGGGACAGCAGGCGGCTCGTTCTGAGGCCATTCCTAGAGTGGGGCTGGGGGAAGACGGCGCAGCCTCTGTGGAAGGAGGTCGAGGGCACTGGAGGAGGCGGGGTTGCTTTTCATTCTGACCCTGCCATCTCCCAGCTGTGGCCCCTGTGTGTGTCACTCGACCCCTCATTGAAAAACAGCCTGTCCTTTGTGGGTTGTTGCAGGTTCAAGGTCGACCCAGATACCAGAGTGCTCGCCCCCAGCACAGCGGCCTGTGGGTGTCTGCCCTTTTACTGTGCAATTCACCGAGGCCTCAGGTGGGGGTTTTGCAGAGACACGGCAACCCTCCGCCTCCATTAATGCACCGTTAATGCCGCCGGCCTCTTCTTCCCGTCCTTGTACTTCCCCCGCGTGTGTGTGCTGGAGGGGTGCCTCTCCAGGGTGTTTCCTGGCTCTCCTGGGAATTCCCAATCCCTAAATAATCTTTGTCCTTTTTTTCTTTCTCATCTTATCCTTCTAATCAATGGAATCCACTTTGTCCTTGTTTCTGAGGAACTCCTGCTGGGGACAAAATGGCCAAAGTGAGGAGCAGCTCCTGGCTACCCCTGCGAGTTTTCAGTGGGCACACTATACCCCAGGAACAGCAAATCATTGGCATTCAGGCCACCACACCCCATCTGGAGCCAGTGGCAGACGTTGCTAATCAACCACAGCACAGTGGCCTTGGACTCTTAAAGTGGTGCTCTAGGTGGCCATCACCAATCAATCGAGATGAAACCAACTGCCACCCCCGGCATGGTGGGTGTCTAGGCTGGCATGCCCAGATGTGCCTTGACCTTTGCCCCTTGGCAGAGCCCGGCTGACTAAGCCTCGGGCCCATTAGCGAGGGCCTGGGTGAGGGCGTGAGGGCCAGAGCCCTTGGAGCTCCTGTGCATGCTGACCACGTCACCGCTGGTGGCCTCACAGTCTCCTCTGTGGAGGCCCAAGAGGCCGCGGACGGTGGCCTGGAAGCCGCTGGTGACGAAGCAGTAGACGATGGGGTCCATGCAGCTGTTGAGGCTGCTGAGGGTCACAGCCACGTGGTAGACCACGAGGCTGGTGTGGTGCGGCATGTCGGGCCACAGTGCCACCGCCACCTGGCGGGCATGGAAGGGCGTGAAGCAGACGAGGAAGATGATGAGCACTGTAAGCAGGAGCTGCATGGCCCTCACGCGGCGCTGGCGACCCTGGCGGAGCAGGCCCCGCCGTGACAGCGCGCACATGATGCGGCCGGTGAACACGCTGATGACCAGCAGGGGCAGCAGGAACTCCAGGACGGTCAGCGCGAAGACACGGCAGCAGGGCCGGCTGCCAGTCACGCCCAGCACCGACAGGGTCACGACGCCGGCGGCCAGCCACACGAAGGCGCACACGGCCCTGGCACAGGCAGGCTGGCGGCAGCGGCGAGAGCCTTCGGGCTGCACGATGGCCAGGTAGCGGTCCACACAGATGCAGGTGAGGAAGAGGATGGAGCAGTGCATGTTGAGGAAGTAGCCGAGGACGTGCGGGAAGGCGCAGCGCAGGCAGCCCCTTGCGCCGTAGTAGACAGCGAAGCGTGTGGGCAGGGACAGCCCCACCAGCAGATCGGTCACCACCAGGTTGATGGTGTAGATGACTGACGGTGTCTTGGCCCGGGTGCGGCAGCAGAAGACGTACAGTGCCAGCCCGTTGAGCACCAGCCCAACCAGGAAGATGGCTCCGTGCACCGCCATCAGCGCCAGCCACAGGCCCGGGAAGGCGCCGTGAAGCTCCTCATCCAGCTGGGCAAACAGGTGGAACAGGGGCACCTCCGGCCCGCTGGCATTGGCCCACACTGTTGTCACTGCAGTGGCATTGGGGATTGCCCCAGTGGAGGGCCCCTCTGGAGACACAGAGGGCATGGCGGCGGCCAGCACACCCCAGGCCTGGAAGCAAGGAGACCGGGTCACCCCAGGCACCACCCTGAGGCCCAGACCTCAGCCAGCCTGTCTGCCCCTGCACGCCCAGCAGCCCACACCTCCATGCCCTCGCCTGGCCGGGACTCAAATGCCTGCTCCCTTGGCTCTACCCAGATGGAGCCTCAGACATCAGCAGAAAAGGCACAGGCTTTCAGAGTCAGACAAGGCTTCAAATTCCAGCCCTGGCACTCGCCAGCATGGAGCTTTGGCAAAATGTGGAGGTTTCTGCGACCATCCCGGCAGGAGGAGGAGGTGGAAAGGCGCGCGGGGTGGGGCCGTCCTCAGGACGGAGAGCAGGTGAGGGTGAGACCACCAGGCTCCAGTCTGCAGTTCCAGGGCCTGGCTCCGGCCCCGGCTGTGCCACGGACTAGTGGGCATGCTCTAGCAGGTCCCGTGGCCTCTCGGCCTGCTTCCTGGTATGTACCATTGGGGTCACACTGCTGCAGGGGATTGAGCCAGTGTGTCAGCACAGCAGTGCCAGCACAGTTGGTGGCTGAGACACAGCCTTGCCCATAGTGGGGACCTCTGACTGCCCCACCCAGTCCCCTGTCCCCACACCCACCATCATGGCCCCCATCCTCCAGGACCACCCATCTGCTCTCGCCTCCTCCCAGGCCAGCGTCAGGGCAATGCTCCGGACAGGGGTCCCCATGAGGGACCTTTACAAAGAGAGCTAGGCTGACCACTGGGGCTGGATGGGGGCCAAGGACCAGTCCCACCGGGGACCCCAGGCCCCTACTGGCCCTGAGAGGCGGGCACCCCTGTGATTCCCCACAACCTACAGAGAAGGGGATGGTGGCCCCTGTGGGGTGGCTGGCTGGGGCTGAATCCTGGAGCCAGGGTGTGAGTCAAATAAACACTACGCTTTGGCTTGGGAAGGGGGGGCCGGTGGTGGGGGGCGGGTGAGGGGCTGTGCGGGAGCCACCCACTCTGTTTATGTTCCTGCCCTGGCGTGTTTAACTCGGCAGTGATTTATCCCTCTATTTATAAATGAAGGGTTAATGCCCCCACCCCCACCCTAGAGCCAGGCTGACCCTCCAAATAAGGGCATTTCTGGCTTTTTCAGGAGAATGGGGAAGACTTTTGGGCGAGGCAGCGGCGGCCTTGGTTGGGGGGGCACATGGGCCGTTCCTTCCACACAGCGCCCCTCCCCCACCTGCAGGGGAAGGGAAGACCCTTGCCCTGTCCCCTCCTGGTGGCTGCCGGCTGTAAACAGCCTGCCCCACCACTCCCTCTGACTGGACTAGCGCATGGCCCCATCCCACCCTGGGGAACAAGGAGTCCTGCCTTCAAACAGCCCCTGGCCTAGCTCAGGGCAGCAAAAGAACTCTTGCTTTCAGAGGTTCAGGTCCCTCCGGGTGCAGGGCCACCTTGTTCCTCAGGGTCAGAGAGGTCAGCGCCCGCCTGAGGTCACCCAGCGTGCCCTCTGCCTCTGGGACCCCAGCGCTGGGCATGTGCTACCCTGGAGGCTGCTGGGAGGGGCCGAGTGCTGCCCGGGCCTGTGCCCAGCCCCTCCTGCCACCCCAAGCACACCAGGGCCCAGGCTCATCTCCCAGCTCCCTCTGACTGCAAGCAGGCTCTCCACCTCCAGGCCCTGGCACACAGGCACTGATGGGTGTGTTTGTTGGATGAATAGCTCAGTCCTCCCCCAGCTCAGGTGTGCCACCAGAGACAAGGGGTTTGGGGCATAGCAGGCAGCAAGGGGAGGGGAGGAGGCTGGGGACACGGGGGCGGGCGACCTGGCGTCTCAGGGCTGTGGGCTTCAGGAGCCCCAGCAGCTCCCCAGAAAGAGAGGGAGGCCATCGATGGGTCCCCCTGCTGTGGACAGAACAAGGTCAGGAAGGGTGGAGGCAGCTCCGCAGCTGGACCAAGGAACCGCATGGCAAAAATTATTTTGGGATTCCTTTCTGTGTGCCTGTGGCTTTTCCAATTTGTCTGGATTGGGACTGCCCCAATCAGAGACAGATAATAAACAACACAGAACGTTTCCTCTGGAAGCTAGTCCCAGGGTGACTCTGGTCCCTGGAGATTGTGCTCCCCGGGGAAACTCCCCAGGGCGGGTCAGCAGGCTCACCAACAAGGCTGAGGTGCTGGGGTCTTGGCCAGGGGTGTGGGGGCTCTGAGGCCTCTGGGGGGATGGGCAGAACGTGCAGGACACCCCGAAACCAGACCAGTGAGGAGAGGAAGGTAGCAAAGCATTCGCTGATTCCCGGCACTGAGGGTCCGCCGAAGAGGCACAGACTCTGCTCTCGGGAGGCCCCAGGTGACGAGCAGTCACCAGCACAGACACCCAGGTCTGAGTCTGGCTCTGCCCTTAGCTGAGACCTGGGCCTGGCCAGGGAGCCTGAGCGTCATCTGCTAAATGGGTCACTAGTACCTTCCACAGCTCTGCCTTGCCCTGGAAGCCTGGCCTGAGCGGCGGTGGTGTGGGGGGGGAGGGCATGGCCCTGTCCCCAAGCCCTGTTTCCCTAGGCCAAACCTGGGTGTGGGGAGATGATTCTGTCACCTCCCTCCGTCCCGGCGGGTACCCTGGGCCTGTCTGAGACAGCAGACTCCATGGCTGAAGCCAGCTGGCCAGAGCCCTAGGGGCAGGGGCTGGCCCCGCGTCCTGAGCGTGTGACACGGTGCTGGGGCTCAGGCCTGGGTGCTGTCCAGGGCTGGGAGGCTTCTCTTCCCCACGGGCCAGGCCCGCTCTGCTCCCCACTCACACGCAGATACTTCCTGGGGGACAGAACAGAGGGAACGGGAGCTGCTCTCCAGGGCTGGGGGTCAGTGAGTGCAGAGCCAGCAGGGTGGGGACCTGGAGCGTGGCCATGAGCCCCGGCTCCGGCCCGGAGGGCCCCCCACAGCCTGCCTCCTTCTCTGAACAGACGATGTGGCCTCACAGTCTCTAGCTTCACTGTCCTCCTCTGCAGAGTGGGCAGAATAGAATCTCCCTTGGGGGTTCTTGTCCTTATGGAAGAAGGACAGACTCGGGAAACGCTGAGAGGAAGGGACGAGCTCTCTCGGAGGACCCCAAGGGCACGGGGCTAGCTCAGCTCCAGCTGGGGAGGGCAGCCTAGACTGGGTCCAGCTCCCATACCACCACTGCCCCCGCCAGCCCGGAGTGAGGGCTCTGACCTGGGCGGGTCCTCTCCGAGCCTCAGCTGCTCCTCTTGTGAAGTGGGAATGGCCGATACGCTGCCCTGCAGGGCTGCCTTGGGGCTCCGCTGAGGCAAAGCACCTGCTGCAGGTATGGGGGGCAGGGGCAGGTGTGGGGGACAGGGGCAGGTGTGGGGGTACAGGGGCAGGTGTGGGGGCCAGGGGCAGGTGTGGGGGTACAGGGGCAGGTGTGGTGGTACAGGGACAGGTGTGGGGGGCAGGGGCAGGTGTGGGGGGCAGGGGCAGGTGTGG